ATTGCACCTTATTCAAAATCAATGCGGTCCCACGGCCCTCTGTGGCCCAAAGTTAAAAACTGTTGTTCTTTTTACGCACTTAAGATGGCGCTCACGGCCCAAGGCCCATAGGTTAAGAATATCTACATTAATACATGCATGATACACACATCCGAGGCAGTGGGGGTTTAGTGTTTTGCCCATGAAAACTTCAACATGTTACTGAACAGAGGTGGAATCGAAACACCAACTCTTGGGTTAAAGAAACAACACAAACACCCCAGTAAATTGAATCATGTTGGGTTGCCAAATGACCCTTTCCCCCCACTTCCTCTGCTAATGCAGCTGTAAGAGATCAGATTTAGATAAATGCAAAGTTAAGGTAAACATGACTCACATATCAATCTAAAATTCTTCATCTAATCTAGTGATTGCAGCCCTTTTCTGCCTTGATCCATTTGGAAATATTTGTGTAACAGACCTTTTGGGTAAATCTGATTGTGCCTGTGGTGGTTCTCAGTAAACACAAACCAATCATTAGGGAGCACCAGTGTAACCAGTGCATCTCTAGGAATGATTACTAGTAAACATGCGTAATGTTGAGTCAATTACTTGTAAAAAATAGTTATAAAATCTTAAGTTATTTAGTAATGATAAGCTTGGATACAAGACTTTATGTAAACAGAGCTTGAATTGTTTGGTTTTTGATTTTGTAAAATCTAGACATCCCAGTGTAATAACTTACCATAAACGGCTTTAGTAATAATTACTAGTTTGGGTTTACAGTGCAGATATCAGCAATGGTTGGCGACGAGTTCGATCTTGTTTATTTTTACRTTCTACAGGCTCTGAAATGCAAAACAAATTTGAAGCTGAGTTTTTGAAAATAATCTGTGAGATAGCCCTGTACATCTGTATACCTGCAAAATGGGGGGAAAACCTGGGTAATTTACAGACAATCCTTACAACTTGACATGCATGTAGTGATGTGCTTATGGTAGAGAGGAGCTTGACATGTCTGACTCACAAATTGACAGCACACCCACGCAGCAAAATGTGCACATGAGGTGGAGAGGAGAATGGGATGGGGCAGAGAGGGGTGGGGGTTAGAAAAAATCTGGTTCACATCAAAGGCTGTCTGAAGGATTTGACAAAAAGAGAAGACTGTATCAGACTGTTGTCATGACTCTGGGTTACAGCAGGCTGTTAGGACATGTACGAGTTAATAGAAGTGAATTATATTGATGCAAGAGAGACACTTAGCTGAGCATTTCACATCAAAAACAACCAAACACACGTATAAAGTATATTGTGGTGTAAAATTATACAGAAACGTTGGTACTGAACAGAGATTCTGATGTTGTTTGGTTTAAAATGTTAGATGTGAAAAATCACTCGTAAATTTCCTCAACCTGCTGAGACAGAATAAAACCACTGATCATAACAGAACACACCTAGACCCATCCAAAACCTCCATTCCAAACCAAATACTTCATTAAAGCTTCTCTTTGGTTTGACCAAAGCTAAACCCTAATCTTTGTTCTGCGTGCCCCCAGCAGGAGACATCTTGCTTTAGTTCATCTTTTGAGAGGAAACAGTAAATGGGATGTGGATTGGAAAGAGACTACAGGAAAGATGTTTGTTTGGCAGACAGACATATCAAAGTGACTAAATATCTGAAGGAAAATTTTTAGAAAGCTTTCTAACTGCCCATCCTCACCACACAATAATTCATTAAAGTATCCATTAAGTAAAGCCCCACTCTGCCAAAGGAGCTTTTTACAAAACACCATTTACTCATTAAGTTTAAGCAGATGAAACAACTGAAATCACTGCAAGGGCTGGGTGATAGATTGTTAATACCTAATATATTGCAAGTTTCCTCTTATGAAATATAAAAAAGGCTATCACAAATATTAAGTATAAATTTACCAGTTGTTTATCATCCGATTTAATCCACTATTAGTTTAGTTTTCTTCTAATGCATCAAAGCTGTCTTCCCTGTTAACCTGAAGACTCYGGTAATAAGGTAACCAGGGTCAGAGGAGGTCATGGTTCACAACCCCATCTGGTCATAGTGTTAAATTAATACAGTGTTTAACAAAGGAATTTAAAATRCTGSAACATGTATTAACATTGAGTTAAAGCTTCAAAAASTTAGAATAATTATTTTGGTCATATCATCCACTGTAGTCTCTGCTGAACAACAAAAAACTCCTCTGCAAAGAATCACACGCGTCACAGTGTGCATGTGCATGAGGTGTGAGTCTGCATTGTGTAAACAGTGGTATTCATCCAG